CATCTTTTTGGCCTTTTATACATCTGAGTGAGGATTGATCCTCTTACCCAGGGTCCTTCTTCTTGCTTATGTTCTTTAGGTGTACAGATTTTAATATGATTGTCTTATATTATATGTCTAATATCCACTTACAAGTGAGTGTTTACCATGGTTGTCTTTCTTCTTCTGGGATACCTCACTCAGGGAGATCTTTTCTAGTTGAATGGCAGATAAATGATTAAAGAAATGCTCACTGTCCCTACCATCAGGGAAATGCAAATCAAAATGACCCTGAGATTTCATCTTACACCCATCAGAATGGCTAAGATCAAAAACTCAAGTGACAACACATTTTGAAGAGGATCCACTGCTGGTGGAAATGTAAACTTGTACAACCACTCTAGAAATCAATCTTGTGCTTTTTCAGACAATTAGGAAAAGTTCTACCTCAAGATCCAACTATACTACTCCTAGGCATATATCCAAAAGATGCTCAAGTATAAAACAAAAACATTTGCTCAACCGTGTTAGTAGCAGATTTATTTATAATAGCCAGAATCTGGAAACAACCCAGATGTCCCTTAACTGAGGCATGGATACAGAAATTGTGGTACATTTATACAATGGAATACTACTCAGAAATTAAAAACAAGGAATTCATGAAATATGCAAGCATATTTTTTTTAAAAAGAATCAAATAAAGAATGATGGAAGCAAAAAGACACGCATGGTATATACTCACTCATATAAACATACAACATAGAATAAACCCACTAAAATCTGTACATCTAAACAAACTAAGCAAAAGAGAAGACCCTAACTAAAATGTTCAATCCCCATCCTGAAAGGCAAAGAGGATGGACATCAGAAGAAAAAGAAAATAGGAAACAACCTCAGAACCTGCTACAGAGGGCCTCTGAAAGCCAGAAGAAAACAGGAAACAACCTTGAAACCTGCCACAGAGGGCCTCTGAAAGCTTCTGCAGTATAGACTGTCAAAGCAGATGCTGAGCCTGATGGCCAACTGATAGGCAGAGTGAATGGAATTTTATGTAAGAAGTGGGAAATAGTAAGAGCTGGAGGGGACGGGAACTCCACAAGGAGAGCAACAGAACAAGATAATTTGAACACAGGGAACTTCCCAGAAAATCATACTCCAACCAAGGACTATTCGTGGCGATGACCTGGAACCCCTGCACAGGTGTAGCCCATGGCAGTTCAGTGTCCAAGTGGGTTACATAGTAATGGGAAGAGGGACTGCCTCTGACATAATCTGATTGGCCTGCTCTTTGATCACTTCCCCCTGAGGGGGGAGCAGCCTTATCAGGCCACAGTAGAGAACAATGCAGCCACTTTTGATGAGAACTGATAGACTAAGATCAGAAAGAAGAGGAGAACCTCCCCTATCAGTGGACTTGGGGAGTGGCATGCATGCAGAAAGGGGAGGGAGGGTGGGATCGGGAGGGGAGGAGGGAGGGGCTTATGGGGGGATACAAAATGAAAAAAGTGTAATTAATAAAAAATTAAAAAAAAGAATGATGGAAATAAAGAGATTTCAGGAAAGCTAAAACATTTATTTTAATATCTAGGAGTTCCAGGACAATTAATTTTTAATATCCTATGAGTTTTGTGTTTTTTTTTTCATAGAGATGAAATAACAGAAATATGTAATAAAACATTTTATACATGGACAATTAGATCAAACAATAAAACATCTGTATATTACATAAACATTGACAATGGTGTTAATTTCCCTGTTTCAAGGAGCAATTAATTATCAGTTGCCTAAATTATTCTTGTAAGGAAACCTTCATCTCAACCTTAATGTTTTAATATATTTGCTTTCTTCCTACATCATGAACAAAGCAGGTAAGAAGCAAGCAAATTATGAGATAGTTTTGTAGGCACTTCCTCCCAGGCTGAGCTGTGACCACCTCCATTAGGATTAACTGAACCTGCTTACGTTCATTAAAAAGGCCTTGATTACATCTTGCTGAGGAAATTTTCTCCAAAGGGAGCACACAGAGTAGGAAAGGGCCCCTTGGCATCCTCGGAGGCAGGCTGTGTCTGTGGGGCTTCAACAAGAAAAGTGCCTCTATGATCAAGTATGAGCCACACGGATATTTGAAACAAGATGTTATAAAGGGGAAAACCTTCCCCAGCAGAGTAGTTCATAGTTAAGAAACTAATGAGATCATCCACCAACTAAAATGAATCCATTAGTTATAAAAGAAATCAAATTGTCAATCTACAACTCATAGTTATGCTGATATAAACAAAGAATGAATGAAACCTATATGGAAAATACCTCATGTTATCACCCATGTGTCTAAATGAACTGTTTCCAAAGTAAATAGAAAAAAAAAATTAACTTTAGAAAAGTAGAAAGTTATTAGCTAGTAACTCATTGGTAACTTCATGTGACGCCAGTCCACCTCTGATATACTAATAATTTCATCTATATCAAAGAATACGTTATGGTTTCAACTGAACTATGATCATAACATACTTAATGTCTAACCTGATCTGTTGTTTCTTTACTATACACAACAAACGTCTCTTTTTAGTCTCTTCTGTGGATCGTTTTATTTAGAATCTTGGAGAAAAAAAAGGAGGTAAGATGATCAACCCTCACTTAGAAAGACAAATGGGACGGACATTGGAAGAAGGAGAAAACAAGAAACAGGACAGGAATCTACCACAGAGGGCCTCTGAAAGACTCTTACCTAGCAGTATATAAAGCAAATGCTTCAACTCATAACCAAACCTTGGGCAGAGTGCAGGGAATCATATGAAAGAAGGGGGAATTAGTAAGACGGAGAGGACAGGAACTCCAAAAGGAACAAATATATCTGGGCACAGGGGTCTTTTCTGAGACTGATTCTCCGACCAAGGACCAAGACTGATTCTCCGACCTAGAACCTCTGCTCAGACATAGCCCATGGCAGCTCATCATCCAAATGGGTTCCCTAGTAAGGGGAACAGGAACTGTCTGTGACATGAACTCAATGGCTGTCTCTTTGACCTTCCTTCCTTCTCCGAGGGAGGAGCAGCCTTGCTAGGCCACAGAGGAGGACATTGCACCCAGTCCTGATGAGACCTGATAAACTAGGGTCAGATGGAAGGGGAGGAGGTTCTCCCCTATCAGTGAACTTGGAAACGGGCAGGGAGGAGATGAGAGAGGGAGAATGGGATTGGGAAGGAATGAGGGAGGAGGCTACATCTGCGATACAAAGTAAATAAACTGTAATTAATATAAAAAAGGAATAAAAAGGTGACAGTTCCACCAAAAAAAAAAGTATAGAAGAAAAATACCTGAATATTATAGGTAAGGATTCAGTTTTTAACAGGAGAAAACAATCACACACTACCACCTAAGACAATAAAATTAAAATGATAAAATTATTTAATATATTTGAAAATATAATAGTCTATGGCTGCATATTAATTTTCTTAAACTAAACAGGATGCTATTGAAAATGGGAAAATTCTGTAATTTGATTTCTGACTTCAGATTATCTTATTTCATTGAAATAATGAATAAGAAAAAAGAGAAAATATAGGACTATAAGAAGGCAAATCGATCCATGACCACACATCCTCAGTAATATGATATCCTACATAGGGAAATACATATGTGGAATGAGAATGAAAAACTAAATAATACAACTGTTTGGTTTAGAGATGTCTTAAAACATAAACTGGATTTCTAGAAAAGAGGCAATGAAAAATGTCACCTTAGTAGAAGAGATAAAATGTATGAAGGCTCATGATGCACAGGTTCTTGGAAGTCCAATAAAGCTTATGGACTGAGGGACTTCCAAAAAGCATAAGAACTGGAAATTTACTGTAAAAGTACATAAGCTAGAAAATAAATATATTGAAATACAGTCATCAAGGTTAATCAAGACATATCTGTGGATGAAACAACAAAGGTTCTGTTTGTATTGGTGTCATAATTTGAAATTTATTTGATAAGGTGTTTTCATTCCTTTCCTAATTTCATCTTGTCCTGTAAATACTCTGAATAGTTCCCAAAGAATTTTATTGATTAGATGTCTTAGAATAGATGACTTTCTTTTCGCTTCACATTTCTAGTGTTAAGATGAGTAATCATGTGTATCACATTCAATACAAAGACACATTTTTTTTTTAAAAAAGAATCATGAAAACAATGATGGAAGTGAAGGGCAACAAAGAAGAAATTTTATGTTTAAAGTCTAACTGCACCTTAGGAGTTCTTAGTCACCATTTTGAATTAGCAGTGATATTCAAAGTTGAATGTTAATGATATTTTGAAATATGTACATCTATCCATCCATCCATCTGTCCGTCCATCTGTCTTTCTGTCTTTGTATCTAGCATCAATTTATCTTCTATTTACCTACAATATTTCTGCCTATTTATCAATCAATCAACTCATCTAGCATCTATCTATTGATAGATAGATAATCTATCTAAAATCTACCACTTATCTTTTCTCTTTCTATCCATTATTATTGTTTGTGTTGGATACAAACTCATTGTGTTGGTAACAGCTTCTGTGGCCTGAAGCCTACATTAATAAAACGAAAGAGATGCCCTCTTTCCTCTGGAAGTTAATTACAGTGAAGGCCTAATATTTTTTTCCTCAGCATATTTCAGAAAATCTTTAGTTCTATCCACATTTCTGTGAAAGGCACTGGGACTCAAGATGACTTAAAAGATAAGAAAAATTCATCATTATCTGACGTCCAGCTGTGATGGTGTACAATTTCAAAAGTGTGATGTTTCATTTATGAAACATGCTATGAGAAGATTACTGTGATCAGGGTCAGGTTACCACGGTAGTAGAAATCAGGATACATGGTTAAGGACTACAATAGGAAGGAATGTCATGACACGTCCTTTCCAGGAGGTTGTGGAATAGGTTAAAGATGACTTGTATTATTTAGAGGTGATACACAGAATAAACAGAGTGATTTCATTATTTTTTTCAAGGTGTTTTGGGATTTGTGTCTATGGTTTGCCACCTCTACTCACCCACACTGGTGCAGCTTTCCCCATCTGCTCCCAGGGTCCAGCCTTCGTAACAGGAGCACTTGACCAGGTGCTTGTGCTGCTCACACACCTGGCTGCACCTCAGGTGGGAGGCACAGTAGTCCACGATTTCACAAGTTCTATTATCTTTCTTGAGCTGATATCCCTCTGGGCAGGAGCAGACGATTCCTCTTCCAGGAACAACAGAGCAGTGGTTGCTGCAGCCTCCATTGTTTAGAGAACACTCATCTGCCAAGGGACAGATGCTCTTGGTCAGATTGTTTTTCTCAGTCCATACTACTCACTGATTGAATCCTGTAAGTCTGGAATTAGAGTCAGGGATTTTGTGACCCAGTATCAGACAATCCCCCACAGTCACTAGACTATAAATATTGCTGGAAATGATGCAGTAATTCCATTTATTTCTAAACGATAAGAATTGGGAATACAAGTTTTCATTTCTACTAAATTTAGAAGAGAGCTTGGGCTAAACCACAGAAGAAAATTGTGTTCAGTACAGATTGGGTTAACCCACTGATATAAATTGTGTTCAGTACTGTACTTTCATTAAAACTGAGAAAATTACCCTCAACCTTTTAGAAGCTGTACAAAATTAGTTGTAGATGCCTTTCAAAGAAAGACATTGATTACCTGAGTATTTAATGCTTATAAATAAATACATATATATTCATATGTAATTACAGTGAAAATGAGTTTTATTTTTACCTTGTGTCCTATATATTAGTTGTTATGATTAATTCAATGAGATCATAGAAATATAACAAATAATACACAGAAAAATTTATACTGGTATTTTGGCTTAAGTAATGAGCAACCATTATTCACCCTTAGAATAATACACATAGTTCATAACGAAAGAAAGTGCTTCCTTCATACTACTTGTATTTTCACTTTAGATACATGCCTTTGTTATTCTTTTTTGTTTGTTTGTTTAATCACAAAGGTTTAGGTTCTAGAAAGACATAGGATATATCTAATTATGCTTATCAGTCTGATGTTGATTCGACATTAAAGATATCTAATGAATAAAATTAAAGTTTAAAAGAAAGATGAAAGTTCCAAAGTTTGGACCAGCATTATCAATGTAGGAAAATTTCAGAATGTCATGCATGCTCGTGACTAAGATAGTAGATTCTTGTTTTTACAGTTCGTCATACTCTGTTTTTTTCTGTACTCCCCTAAGGATCTCTACAGTTCCCTGGTCTTCCCTTTCTACACAGTTTCCTACTATTCCTGAAAGGGACAAAGATGGATAGCGGCAAGGCCAGGAGCTTCTCTCTATTTCTTTGCAGCAAAAAACATTGTTTTGAGCTGGGTATGCATGCCTCTAGTCGCTGCTCGAAGGCAGCTGGAGAAGATAGATCTTTTTGAATATGAGGCCAACCTGATTACACAGTGAGTTTGAGGCTAGCCAGGTCAGCACATTAAGCCTGTGTCTTAAAGCCAAACAAAATAAAGATAACATCATCAACAACAAAAATCAAGCAAAATTAAAGATTAAATCTTAAAACTGGTCTAATTGTGCTCATTAGGAAAGAGCTAAAAGGACTACTGTGTAATAATTAGCAAATTGTAGTAATGTTTTTATGTATAACCTAAATATCTCGACTACCTCTATAGGTTTATTTCTTGGAAAAATGGGCTGAAATGCAAGGCATTCATAAAAGATTCCTACATTTTAAGGTTTTCTGTACTATTCACCTCTTTTCCATACCAAATGTCATCATCAAAACAGTTGCAATAATAAGAAAGGGTGCATAATTCAATTAACTATTTTTTTTCCTTAAGAATTTCATTCATGCTAGGTGCTAGTGTGGAAGGAAAACTCCTAATCATTGGATGACAGTAACCATTTTGAAGTTGTTGCCACATTTTAGTTCAATTGACATTCTTTTTCAGGAGAATTACAGTAAAGAAATGTCGTTATGCCCAGCAGGTGAAAAATAACTTTTTACAATATTTTTACTTTATTTCATATAAAACTTCTGTCTTAGCACTAAGAATTTCTGATGACATCTGTAACTTATGTTAGAAGAAACAAACTCTGTCAATCAACCATGTCAGTTATCTGTTCCAGGTCATTATCTTACAAGCTCCAGGGGGTTCCATGTTGTTTTCACCATTGTTCAGACTTTCCCCATGCCTCCTTCAGCATTGTGTAGCAAACATATCTCAGTTCTCTACTTGATACATATTTGAGCTCCTCAAGTTGTAACACATCTATGTATTTTCTTTCATATGTATCATTTGGCATTGTGAGATGGCAATTCCAATGCTTTCTAAAGTCTGTTAAATTGATTATTTTAACTAGATAATCATAGGAAGGGAAATTATTAGATAAGGACTTCAAAACAGAGACAGCATCATAGCAACTCAGGTAATACTTTGTCTCACTATCTAGGTTCTCCTATTCCTGTGTAAAACAAAAACACAGTTTCTCTTGGAAGACCTGAAGACTCATCAAAATCTGCACAATGAGGAGTCTCATACTCAGCAGTGAGAAGACTTCCCTGTTCTCAGTGACTCAGCTATGAAATAGTAGTCAGGATCTAGAAATGTAATATTTGCCGAGCTCCGTAACTGGTAAACACATAGTCTAGTTTTGTTGTTGTGGTTGCTGTTGTTTTCAGAAAGTCTCGATCACATCTACTACATTTAATAAAGCCTTTCAGTGCCTAAAAACTGTATAAAAACTTCAGGGCAAATGTCTCATTTGAAGGTAATAAATAGAATGACTGAGTGTTATGGTAATAAGTAGATGATAATAGACTAAATGGTGCTAATGTCTGGAAAGAAGTATATGGGACAGAACAAGCAATACCACAAAGATCGCCTTCATCTGACCCATCTGGACAGTCCCTCCTCCCATTGCAGAGTTTCTCTGGCTGCAGGCACATGGAGGTGTCATTAGCACAAGGGTACTTGGGTGGACCACACAAGAAACTGTCACAGTCTTCTTCATCAGATTGATCCTCACAGTCAACATCTCCATCACATACCCAGGCTTTGTTGATGCATCTCCCTAAAAAAAAGGAAAAAAAATCACAGCAATAAACAGCCATTATTATTTCTGTCAGAGTCAGAATTGTTTCCTATTAGTAAGAAATCTATTTGCTGATAGTTTGACAGTTTGTTTTCATGATCTCATTGGAATATTCTTGTTTTGCTCGTAACTGCTCTTAGAGTCTGAGTATTAGTGTTTTCTTTAATTTCAAATTATCTCCCATGTTGTTAAATAAAAAGGGATTCTGTGAATAGTTGAAAGCATATAAAAGTTTAAGAAGTAAATTTTAATGGTACACTTTTGTGTCAGTAACTTTCACATTCCAAAATTTAGGCAAACAATATTAGTTATGACCCAAACAAATTTAGGCAAATGCTATATTTTAGGGATTGTATTTTTTACCTACATATCTTGAAATGATGATGAAAGTTGCTTCATAAAACAATGTCATTCCTGGTTAGCCAATGTAATCCTAAGCACTAAAAACACTCTTTGAAGAATTGCCAGTCCTGATTTCAGGGTACTACAAAACCAGAATTGTAAAAGCAGCATAACCTTGGCATAAAAGGGGGGGGGGTGTGATTGATGCAGATTTGAGGACCCAGATATTAGTTGATGTACCTACCTACACTTGATTTTTGACAAAGAAACCAAATCAAACAAACAAAGCACATAGGATTAAAGCATTTAAAATAACAGTTCTTAGGAAAATTTGATACCTACACGCAGAAGAATGAAACTTGACCACTCTCTCTCACCCTCTACACAAGCTGATTTGAAATGCATGAAAACCTCAATGTTAGACCTTAAACTAAAACAGAAAAAAAATAGTAGAAAATACATTTTAGGCTATAGGCTCAGGCTATAATAGGACTCTGGTCACCCAGGAAACAGGACCAACAATGGACCAGTGGGACCTTATGAATACAATACAGAAATGCTTCTGTGTTACAAAGGAAACTGCTAATCAATTGAAGAGGCAGCCTACAGAATAGGAAAACAAAACCCAAAACATATGCTATATATCTAACAGTAGATTTGTGTCTAGAACACAAAAGCAGCTCAGAACACTAAACTAAGAACACAACGAAATTAAAAAGTAGGCCATGGAAGTCGTGAAGACCTCTCACAAGAAAAAACAAAATGTCTACAAAACTTTTACAATAGTGTTGATTACCCTTAGCTTTTAAGGAAAAGCAAATTAAACCTTCTTTGAGATTTTGGCATATCACAGCCAGAATGGCTAAGATGAAGAAAATTAATTGTGACAAGTGCTGCTGAGGGTAGGGGGAATCTTTCACATTTTTGGTGGGAGTGTAAACCTCTACAGCCTTTTGGAAATTGGTGTAGGGATTCCTGGAAACAAACAAACAAGCAAAACTGCTGGGTGGTGGTGCATGCAGCCTGATCTCTGTGAGTTCAAGGCCAGCTTGGTTTACAAAGTAAATCTAGTACAGCCAAGGCTACACAGAGAAAATCCTGTCTCCAAAAACCAAAACCCAAAACTGCAAAACAACAGCAACAACAACAAAAACAAACTCATTGGACAGGATGAAATGCATTTGTGGTGCAGTACTTCTGCTCAACAAACTATGGTTGGTAGCTGATAGGTTCTAGGGGTAGATTAATTGTTATTATTTTGCTAAGTGAAAGCAACACCAAAGTGGCCTCTAAATTTCTAACTCCATAACTAAAGTTAAGTGTAGATCACAGTCTTCTGTGTAGTGGATGCAGGTTAATTCAGAAAGTCACAACTGGTCAGTGGGCATAGAACAAGTGATGATGGAGCGCTCTGCCAAAGTGAAACAACTATATCATTCCTACCTCAAGAGTTAGGGATCATCGGGAGAGAGTAGAAAGAAAGATTACAAGGGAATGAGGTCAGGGCAAAGCAAAGTGAAACAGTGTCCTTTAGAACAAAAGACCACTGCATTTATGAACTCACAGTAGCTATTGTAGCTTGGGAAAAGCTGGATCAAAATCAGTCCAGACAACATGCTAGCAAGGATGAAGGAAGGTCTCAACAGATCTCCCAATGAGCTATTGACACTTGCTATTTTATGGGGGAAGGAGAATCCATTTCCTTTAAAGGAATAACCCCTGTAAGGTTAAACTTAATCTAGTGGATGAACCCCACCCATGAGCTTATAGGAAGCACAACCGGAATTTATTGGATCACCAAAACAAAAGAGAGTATAAGAAGTTGGGACAGGTTGGGGAATTGGGGTTTGATCTGGTAACAGCTTGGGGGAAGAGGGGTAAATATGAACAAAATATACTGCATGAAAATATCAAAGAATTGATACAAATATCAAATTAAAGAAGAATGAAAATATCTTTAAATGTTTTGATAATTTTTATATATACCAATAGAACATGTATAAATGTTTTCTTTTTACTAACTTAAGAAAAAAAGTTTTGTTTTGTTTTTTGTTTTTCTGCCAGTGTTTTAAAAGTCAACATGTAGAAAACACATTGGGCTTTGGATGTCAATGTCAATGTAATCCTATTTTGTTGCAGCTGTTGGTGATGATAGTTTTTGCTGCAAATTTTTTATCTTTTACATATTCTTTTAATTTTTCTAGTTAATTATCTTTTCTGGATTATTCATTATTAGTGAGAAATATGAATTTTAAATGTACCTAGAGATCAATAGTAGTCTAACAAAAATATTATCACTTCATGCAATAGGAGTCAAAATAAAATTTTACAATGAAAATATTAGGTCAAATATTTAGCAAATACACTGTATTTAAAAGTCACAAAATGGGGGGCAGGGTCAAGATGGAGACCACAGTTTCTGAACTGTGGAAGCGCTGAATGCCTGAGTGGGTGAGTGGAAGGACTTCTGAAGCCAGGGAAATGACGGAGAGGCTTTCTAAACGACAGGGAACATCACGAGGTGGGAACTTTGGTCTAGGGTCACCTATGGACTTGTTTGAGGAAGGAGAGAAACAATCCTTTGATCTCCTGGCACTCCCCTCTCTCGGACCTCCCTCCTCCTCAGCACAGCGGACTCACCGATTCTCAGCTCAGAGCTCACGGCCTGGGGTCTGCAGCAGCTAAGACAGAGTCCCTAGCTCCTTAGCGGGAACTGCCAGCGGTACTGGTACTGGAGTCCCAGACCCGCGACACCATCCTCACAGGGTCCCTGGTCTGCTGACCGCCATACTGGCCCCACAGGGTCTCTCAGCCGCTGACTGAATGGCCCACCTAAACCCTCAGTGACAGATAATACACTATATTCCTACCAAAGCCCATCAGACCTGACATACAAGCTAGGCACACCAGGCGCTGGGCCTCCCAGGCTTGGAGAGCACAGTGGAGGGCCCCCAGGACTTCCCAGAAGGCATCTGGACTGGCAACCCAGCTTCCAGTTGCAGCTGGACTTCCTAACCTGGCGGTTGCAGCAGCACTGACCTGGCAGAGCGTATTAGTCCTCCTGCAGACCAAGCAGGGCCAAACCAGAGAGCAGAGAGCCCAGATACCCCAAACCCTGTCGATGTGATGTGCTTGAGAGTGAGTGCACCCTTGAGTGTCTACAGAACCCCAGATCCAGGGCCCTTCTAAAATAGAAGCCAGGCATTGTACCCCTCTCACCCACATACTCACTGTGGGAAACAGGGTCACTTGGGACATTGAAGCCCCTGCTCTGTGGGTCCAACTGAGGAGTTAAGGCAGTTAATGCCGGAAATTGCACAGCGACCATCACCAGCGCCTGCTAAATATACAGTGCATGCACAAATAACCACCTAGAAGCCTGCAAGGCAGAGCTCCTCCCACACACTCAAGGGTTCAATATTCTCTATCACTCTGTCCTCTAGACATACTTCCACACACACAAACATGCGCGTATGTGCAAGCCTGCATTTGCCTTTCTGCACCCGCATACTTTTCTCCCACAGGTACAGATAGTGCACCAACACACACGGTGAGGCCACGGGACCTCTCTCAGCTTCCTGAAGAACTCTCCAGATGCCAGTGACAGTACCAGTCTGAACTGCAGAATCCAGAAACAAACAGGGAACGTTTCAGATAAACCAATGGCCAGAGATAGGCGAAAGAACACATTCAAAATAAATCAGGACATCATGACTTCACCAGCAACCCCTAAAATTGATGGATACTCCAATTCATCAGAAGCACAGGAAAAAAAAATGACTTTAAAGCTATGCTTACCCAATTATTTGAGGCTCATAAAGAGGAAACAAACAATTCTCTTAGAGCAATAGCCATGCAAATTCAGACAGAGATGAAATGAACAAATCTAACAAAGATTTGGTCAGTCAATTGAAGGCAAAAAAAGAGGAAATGGACAAAATTCTTAAAGAAACATAGGCAAATATGGCCAAACAAGTAGACTCACAGGTAGAGATACAATTAGTAGCAAATAGAGAAGAAATGAACAACAACAACAAAAATAGAAACCATCGTGGAGGGACAGGAATCCACATTCAAACAGATGAAGGAAATGGTGCAAGGCATGAAAACAGAATTAGAATCAATAAAGAAAACACAAAATGAGAAAACCCTGGAGCTGGAGAACTTAGAGAAAAGATCAGGAACCACAAAGGTAAGCATTACCAACAGAATACAAGAGATGGAAGAGAGACTCTCGGGGGCAGAAAATACACTCGCAGAAATTGATACTTCTCTTAAAGAAAAAGTAAAATCAGAAAAGTCCCAAACACAAAATATCCAAGAAATCAAGGATGCCATGCAAAGACGAAATCTAAGAATAATAGGAATTGATGAAGAAGAAGACTCCAGGCTCCAAAGTCCAGAAAATATTTTCAAGAAAATCATAGAAGAAATTTTTCCCAACCTAAAGAAAGAGATGTCCATAAATATACAAAAGGCCTACAGAACACCAAATAGACTACACCAGAAAAGAAACACATCACGTCACATCATAGTCAAAGACTAAATCTACAGAACAAAGAAAAGATATTAAAAGCAGCAAGAGAAAAAGGCCAAGTAACATATGAAGGTAGACCTATCAGAATCACACCGGACTT